GACTCTTATGTCTTTAGCATTTTAAAGAAGTCCTTGACGGCAAATTTTTCAGTATCTTTTGATTTCTTAACTGCTGCTACCATAGGTGTTGATTATGGAATGAAGTAAAAAAAAAGTCACTGACAACAGCCATCTTTTCCCCTCTATCATGATGTTATCTGTTGGTCCAGTGGTGAAGTTTTCTGGATGTGGAGAAGTAATACATATTGAAGGTTGTAGTCTTTGACCCTCTTCAGTAACTGCTTCAAGTATTCTTCATTCTACAAACAATATTTGTCATGTGCATACTGCAAGTTGTAGTGCTGCTTATCACTTTTTGTATGCATATGCTTGCTTATTCATTTTCTGCTCTTATGAGTACAGTACTTTTCAGTCAGTTGCTCTCCTGAGGTAGCTTATAAACTTCTGTAATACTGGAAGCTGTGCTATCAGAATTTTAACACCAGTGGGTCAGTGGAGCTTTCAGATTAAGAAAGACTAAAAAGAAGGACTGGGCATTTACTTCTGAGATAAATGGCCTATGAACTACAGCGGAGCTTTTTTTAACATGCATATGTATTATACATTTTTTCTTTTTTAAATTTTTTTTGTGTGTGTACTGTCAAATCAGGTCTGACTGGTACAGGAGATTGCCCCTCCTTCTCCAGCAGAGGTATTATACATTTCTCAAAAGCAAATTTTCTACTTATTCTGTATCTAATTTTCCATTTCTGGTTGCCAAAGGTTACAGACTAATCTCTTTAATGACATAAAAATTTTACTTTAAAATCGCATCTTAATAGCAAGCATTATTTCTTTACTAAAACTTCAACAATTCAATTGAATGGACATTCACAAATACATAAAATACAGTAAGTTAGACCCTGAATGAGATCTAAAACTGTCCTTCAAGGAGTTACCAATCTGCCTAGTTTCTCAAGTGTGACCCCCAAAGAGGTAGAAATTATTAAAAATCCAGGTTTCTGTGGCCAATCTAAGAGTTACTAAATCAAAGCTAAGGCTGGAGTGACAACGCACATGTTTTGCCATTTGCCCTACATGATTATGAGAGCCACTGAAACCTGACAAGTATTGCTATGAAGAGAGAACACAGGTATGTGCTCAGCATGGAGAACTGGCCAGCAGGGCCCATATGAGAAAGCAAGGAGGTTGTGAGGGGATATGATTTCAGAATCAAATAGGCTTAAAAGGAGGTATGTTGACATTTAGAGCTGAGAGTCTAGCAGGTACCACGAGCTTGGAGACCTGCTTCATGCTAAGGCAGAAAGGATCTTTGCCTGCTGAGGGACAAAAAAAGAGGTAAGACGGGTCTCATTCTTCACAAGCATAATGTTACAGGATCACCAGGAGGTCTTTGCATGAACCAAATTTTTTTAAAAGGACATGTTAATATATATTACACTTCTTTTAATGATTCATAAAATTCCAAAGAACATAAAATAAGTTATTTTCATTTAAACAACATCCTCTCTCTCAGCATGGAAAGAAAATCATCCAAGAAAAACAGCTCATGTTCCTACTGGTTTCTTTTCAGACAAAAAGTGTTCTAAAATTATTAACTACAACCAGCGCTGTGGGATGTGACTAATCAAATCTATGAATTAACCAGATAACACTCTCAAGAAGAGTAATAAATACTCATCTGTGGTAGTCAATGCTTAGGTAACGTTCTCCTTTCGGGTTGATTTTACAATCTAAACGCTTGACTTTTTATGTCAAATTTTCAAATGGTTAAGGCAATATATATGTGTATCTATTACAAATGACAAATCTGGTGTTTATGCAAAGTCATCACATCCTCTGTTTATACCAAGTATATTAAATATAAGAATTATGTATAACTCTAGCATGAACTGCAAATCCATCTTTCTTCTGAGATTTGAGGTCTTTGAGGGTTATCTTTCTAGAATAGAAGTCAAGGTAATCCCCAAGGAGATCTGGGAGGTTAGGCAGCTGGTAGTTAATATGAAGGATGGCAGTTCAAAAAGACATAGCATTTTGTTTCTAGAAAAATCACTACCTTGGAAAACCCATTTCTTCTATGAGATTATTATTAATCTGAACCAATTAGATGGGAATGGGGTAGTTACTATTTTTTTTTCAATGCAATCTCTAAGGCTTGGCACTATGCTGGTGCATGGAAGGGTCTCAAATTTAAAATACAGACTTGAATGATCTTATTAACAAATACTCTAGGTCAAATTTATGTATGAAAACAATTGTTTTCTGGGGAGGTATTACTTTTTCTGCTGTTACTTGTTGTTAGGTGACATTAAGTCAACTGCAACTCAGAGACCCTACGAACAACAGATCTAAACCTTGCCAACGCCTGCACCAAATTTATGATCTCTGTCATGTTCAAGCCCAATGTGGTAGTCACTGCCTCAATCCATCTCACTGAGCATGCTGTCTCTTCCAAGATGCTGGTTTCTTCTTTAAATATGCCCAAGATAGGTCAGAGGAAGTTTCACCATTCCTGCCACGAAGGAACACTCTCTGAATGCACTTCTGATAAGACAAATTTGTCAAATATGGCAGTCCATGGCTCATTCAATACTTTCTGCTAGCACCACAATTCCAAGGCACTGATCCTTCTTCATGTAGCATAGACATTAAGGAGTAGCACCAATTACCCAAAGGCCACAAGCCTCTCTAGCAGTTCAAATCCACCAGGACCTCTGTGGAGGAAAGATGAGCAATGTCTTCCCTTAAAATTTACAGCCTCAGAAAACCTGCTAGAGATCATCTACAAGTCAGTTACAACTTGATGATAATAACTTTAAATAATACTGGGTATTTGTTACAGTCATGCTTCCCACACCCCCCCCATCTCTCTTTTTACATATTGACAACAGAGGTGCCTAAACGGTTAAAAAAATATAAGGTAACAAATAATCAATGAAAAATTTCTTCACAATTTTGCCTATAGTTAGCCTATCAAATCCTGTCCACTGCCTGTATTTTTGTAAATAAAGTTTACTGGAATACAGCCATGCCTAGTCATTTACCTTTTATCTATGGCTACATTTATTGTAACAGCATAGTTAAGTACAAGGACTACCAGGACCAAAAAGTAAAAAAAAAAAAAAAAAATCTGGTCCTTTTACCCAAGTTCCACTTTGAATTGTTAGTGATATAGATACTTAGATAAGGTGCACACATATTTAAGTGACTTAGTACTTCACTTACTCTTAAAAGTAAAAGCCAGGATCTTAGCAATGTAGAAATTATAAAGATGCCTAAGGAAGAGAAGACATTATCATGAAGAGAATTTTATTGTCCTAAGTGAGAAATTTTATTTGGATTAAAAAATTCTAAGAATCCATTAAGAAGCAAAAGACATCTTTAAAACAATCAAAGGATAAGGAATTAATGTTCTGCTTGTGGAGAGAGGATGACAGTACATACAAGGACGTCACTGCAAGTACCCAGAAGGATAGAGAGAGAATACATGGAATTTCATTTAGAGATTAGGAGACTGGTAAAGATTTCATCTGGATTTAAGAGTCATTTGCATAGAAGTAACAGTAACAACATCTTACAAAGCCCGGCTTCTAAAATCTCATATTCTTCTAAAGGCTAATTTATGTTAAAATATAAATAAACTATCATGATTGAGTATCAGTTCCTTTATGGTTAGTGGACTACTGAGAATATAGTTAATATAAGGTACTTTGAAATGCAGAGTACTTCACAGATGTATAAGAAATTATTTGGCTGGAAAAAAATTATTTTTTCAAAAAAGCAATGTATGATACAGTCAACTGCCATCCATCTGGAACTTTTTATTTTAAACTGATTTCCTCATTCAATTTAAACCACTGAATTCATAGAAAGTCATCTTTGATGTAGGTGTTAGTTAAAAGCAAAAATATTATTTCAGAGTATGTCATAATTTGAGTTAGGTTTAAGAAGCAGTGATTTAGTGACTTTAATATCTGTAATGGCAAGATTGTGGGTTACCACGTCAAATTTGGAACCTTATAAAGCAAAATAAGAAGCCTTTTAAAAATAAAAATTTAAAAAAAAAAAAAAGAGGAAGGCCAACTTCATGGATTATATATTCTGGAAGGATAATAACAGCAAAACCTTTGAGAGCTAGAATTCATTGAAATAGTCTTGATTTCCCTAGGAATTCTAGTGGCTTAATGTTAAGGAACTGTGCTGAATATGCAAAGGTATACAGTTCAAACCCACCAGCTCCTACTGGAGAAAGATGGACAATGTCCTCCCATGTGATTAATGTCTCTAAAACCCACCAGAGGGTCATCTATAGGTCAGTACAGACAATAACTGATGACTGAATGGTAAAAAGCTGTGTTGCCAGCCCAAAGGCATGTGGTTCAAATCCACTAGCTGGTCCGCAGGAAAAAGACAGGCAATCTCTTTCCATGTGATTTATCATCCTCTGTAAACCCACTGAAAGTTGGTCCTGACTTTACTATACAAAACAAAAAGCAGCCTTGTATCCCTCAGTCTTTAGTTTTAAATAAGACTTCCAACAAGATGGACTGCCACTGTGGCTACAATAATAGAAGATCCATGACATAAAGTGTATCTGACCCATGTTGATAAGAAACCTGGGGTTTAAGATCCCTCCTTAGACACAGAATCTTTTTGTGTAGCTTTTTAAAGAATCCATTATCTGTAGCAATAGTAGAACAGCAAAAGCAGCAGCATTTACTGTGTTAAGTAGTTATTATTTATCCCCATTTTAGAGATGGGGAAACTAAGGCAAGAGAGGTTATATATCATTTATTCAGGATAGCAGAATCAGTAGGAGGCAGAGCTGACACTCAAACCATTTTCCCTCCAGCTTAGACTCTTAAACCTCTAAGCCATATCATAGCAAATCAAATTAAGACTGCTCATACAAACTGATCTAGCGTGAACTGGATAAAATAGCATAACTACTTAGGTATGCAAATTAAGTCACATAATTATATTACAAAATTAGGAAAAAATTAAAATAATGGAAAGGGGGAGCAGGTTTTTTTTACCTTACAAAATTCTGTCGCACACATTCAACCTTCATTAAAATTTGAATACCAGCCTGAGAGTGAATGTAGGCTTTCAACCTGAAATAAAAATGTCATATTGAAGGAAACAAAATTGATCTGCAAGATAGTTTAGGAATGTCTTATAAAGAGTATGCATTTAAGAGTACCTAAAAAAATTCATTTAAATATAGAAAAGAAGTTAAAGATATTTCTAGCAAAGACTGAATAAAAATGATCTTTTTTTCTCTATTTTCAATGGTTCAACTAAAGATATCTACTTTAGTAAATAAAATCAATATATTTTGTTTGAAAATTCTATTTAGTGACAAATATCTAGCAAATACAAAAAAATGAAAATCACAAACCACAGGCAAAAACCAAAGCTTTAGAGTACTAAATGTTTTCGTGCCAGGTATATTGGGGGGGCAGGGGGGAATCCTCAACAATATCAGCAGTCCCCAAAACTGGTTTACAATAGACAGACTCTAAGCCATTTGAGTACTCCCCTGAATCAAAGCAAGAATGAGGTTTAAACAGGATCAGATATTTTAAAATAAAGTCTAAATTTTAAACATCAGGTGACTCTGGAACCAAACCAAACATTCATATCCTAAGCAGGTTACAAATGTTAATATCAAATATTCCAGTAACAATCTCTCCTTTTTTAAAATGACACCTGCTATGTGCTGAGTCCTATACTAGTACTTTATATTATTTCTTTCATACTTCCTAATAACTTTATTTTGTAGGTATTATTATTCCCATTTTGTTGTTGTTGTTATGTGTTGCTGAGTCGCTTGCGACTCATAGCGACCCCATGTACAACAGTCCTAAACTCTGCTCTGTCCTGTGCCAATGGCACTGTCTCTGACACACCCATCCTGATTACCCCAGTCACTGAATCATTCTGCCTCAGAGAGGACCTTTCTCTCCTGCGCTGTCCCATTTTATCGATAGAAAAATCAAGGCCCAGACGTTAAGCAACTTCCTCTGATTATATAGCTAACAACTTAATTTAACCCAGATACTCATGACTGAATCTTTCTATTATGCCTTGTTAGTCACTCTGTTCATGCTGTATGTCTGGACAGGAAGCAAAATGTACTTCAGAGAAGACAGAGAGTCTGATGAAGACAAGGCAGAAACATGCTATCCTATTTTTAGTAGTTAATAGGAACTTTAATTTTCAAGCTTTTGGTTCATCTTGAATGACAGCTGTAAAATTAGGATAAAGAATGCAGGTTAATGTCAGACTGCTGGGTATGAATCCTGACCTGCACACTTATTAGTTATATGAAATTACTTAGCCATTTTAAGGCTGAAGTTTCCCCATCTGCAAAATAATACTTCATTAACAGGTAAACTATCTTACTTGGTTATTGTCAAAATTAAATAATACCTGAACACAGTAAGGCAGAAATGTTTCCAAATCCACACTAATTTAATACCAAGGAAATAAAGCAGAAAGTCAATTATAATGATTTATCACGTGTGAATAAAACCTCATGGTTTTACTAATAACTATGAACACAATAAGAAAATCATAGCTTCATGTAATACATACATACATAACAAGTATTTGAATATTCTTAGTAATTTCAGATAGGTACATTTTTAAACATACCTTTGACGAATTACAGGATCAGACTTTTCAGGATCAATGTAAGTTCTTAGGATTTCATTGATGGTTTTATTATCTGGTACCCTTTCCAGAAATGAAAAGAGAAGGAAAAAACCCCAACAGTATTATTTATAATTTTCTACTAAAGGTGTTAACTTAGAATTGCTAAATCTTGAGGGTTATTTTTCTTAAATAACTGAACACAGACCTTTTATTTCATTCTTGGCAAAATGTAACATCCCTTTAAAAAAATATTCCTTAGAAAAAAGTTCAAAAAGACTTCTTGGACACACTTAACAAGGTCTTAAAAAACAACATTTTGAGAAGCTCTCTATAAATCAATTATTAAAAATGTGAAGCCTCTTTTAACACACACCTGTGCTCAAATATGAAAGGAGTCAAGAAGTGAGTCTCAGAAATAAAAAATTTTAAAAAATTTCAGATGATTCTAATTTTACTAAACACTCCAATTTATTCACTCTAATCCACAAAGTCAGATTAAAATATTGCTACAAATTTCTCAAGAAACAAAGCATTTTGCTTTCCACCATTGCTATGTCTATTATCATTTTACAGGATAAAGATGCAGAAAATAAGTAGCACTGTTTTACAACAGTCATGTTCCTTTATCATGAATATATAATCCATGTGTACTGCCTCTGAAAACTTGCTGGAGGGTCAGCAGTTGATTGGTTTCAACTCAACAGTCCATAACAACTGCAAACGGCTTACAGAAGCTGTAAGTCACATGGGAGGAGACTGCTTATCTTTTCCCTAAAAGCTGCTGGTACATTTGAGCCACTAATGGGGCAGCACCTTTGAGTCAGCAGAGCAACTTCATATGGACTATGCCACCAGGGCACCGAGTAACCGTATACATTCTTCCTTAACTTACTTTTCTCATTCAACATAATTTCCGAGATACAATTACGTTGATAAAGATAGCTGTAGTTCACTCTTTTTGTGTAGTATTTCACATTTTTTTATGCGAACAACCTTGGACTATTTAATTTACCACTAATAAATATTTGGGCTACTATTTTATTTTTTTTCTACCATTTATTTTAAATAGAGGCTTAAAACCAAATCTGTTCTTAAAACACAGAACAAAAACCAAAATAAATGAATAATAAAGAATTGGAATAGAATACCTTTTTTCTATGTACACAGCTTGACTCTGAGGAAACAGTAGCTTCAAATGCCAACAAAACTGCTGATTTCTAAGAGAAAAAAAGTATGTGTCAAAACAGACAATGAATGTCAAACTTAATAATTATATGCTTTAGTAACTCTAAAAGTTGTTGCAGAATATCTTTTCATGAAGAACATTCTCTTCAGGGATTTTTAGAAATCATGTTTCTGCAACAATTTACTTGTGAGGATTTCTGAGAAGAGGAAAAAAAAATTATGCCATTCTGAATTCCATATACTTCACACTGTGGAATTAGAAGGAAATTTCTCAAAATTCAAAATTTGAAGAGCTTGCTTTTACTTTAAAAGTTTATAAATAAATTTCTCATGACTTAAAGCAATGGGCTAACTAGTCTGGAAATTAGGAAATTTGTTTTTTAATAATTTAATAGCTGTCCAACTGAGTCTGGGTGGCTGTAAATATACATTTTTGAGGCTTGAGTATGTGTATTAGTCAAGCAGTAAACTATAAGTTGGTTGCTAAACAGAATGTACTCTTGTCTAAACTTTGGGTTGATACAGGACCAAAAGTAATGATTCACTAAATGTCTGAATTTAGAGAAATTACTATAATATTTAATAAATAAAAAATTAGTGACATCAGACATAATTTTATTTAAAAAAACTTATGGTAAAAATACCGAATCTATTACGGTCTGTTAAAACATGTCAATCAGTATTCCATTACTTGCTGGGTCCTAACTTTTGTCTTTTCCTTCAGTGAAGCTTAGAGGTCTTTCTTCATCATTGGTTCTTGATCAAAAACTACTTCCTGAAATGGTCCTGTGTCAGCTGATTCTTTTTGGCACAGTGACTCTGTGTATTCCTTCCATCTTCTTTTGATGCTTCCTGGATCATTCGAGATTGAGTTTGAATTTGTTTCAATTTTTCAGCTTGAGAAATGCCAAGTGAGTTCTTTGCTTTTTGTTTTCTAACTTCAGCTCCTTGAACATATCCTTATAATACACTGTTTGCTTTCTTGAGCTGCCCTTTGAACGCTTCTGTTCATCTCCCTCAACTTGGAAATCCTTCCTTTTGTTTTGGTCTCTTGATGTTCTATGTGCAATTCTCAGAGTCTCCTGTGACATCCATTTTGGTAAATGCAGATGTGTTGTTGCTGTTAGGTGCTGTTGAGTCAAGTACAACCCACAGGGACCCTATGAACAATAGATCTGAACCTTGTCCTATCCTCACACTAGAGTCCACTGTGGCAGTCATTACGTCAATTTACCTTGCTGAGGGTCTTATTGTTCCCTTCACTGATCCTCTGCTTCCTGATCATCATGTCCCTTTCCAAGGACCAGTCCCTCTGAGCAACATGCACACCTTAGTCTCCAGAATGACATTACTGCTCTTCAGTACTTTGAAGAGGTCTCTAACAGCAGACTTTCCCAATGCAATACATCTTTTGATTTCCTGGCTGCCGGTGCAAAGAGAGTTGACTGTGGAGCCAAGCAAACTAAAGCTGTGAACAATTTCAATCTCACAATGATGCCAATCGGCTCAGTGGTAAAAATCTTTATTTTCTTCATATTGAGCTTCAATCCATATTGAAGGCTGCAGTTCTTGACCTTCAGCAACACCAACAATTATTACTAAAATGGTACTGTTCTAAGTGTGTAATATGTATTAATTCACTAACTTCTTATAATTTTAGGATATAAAAATCATTACTAATCCATTTTACAGATGAGAATATTGCAGTTTTGGGTTTTTTTAAAGTCACATCATCAAGATTTTTACTCAGTTAGAAAGTGGAACAGCTGGATTCAAATCTAGTTAATCTAACACTGGAGTCGGCTGGTGCTACAGGAAACACATTCAGATACTAAACAAGTTTGGAGGCTTAAATCTATCCAGAAAAAAAAAGCTTGGTGAGCAACAGCCCGAAAGTGCCTGATTTATACATACGGAAAGGTTGTTTTAACATTCCCAGGCCCAAAATATAGCCTCCCACCCAATGAAGTTTCTGGGGAAGGAGCTTGTTGACACTGCTCAGGGAGTGCACGTTGGCTTTGTAACAGATCACTATGAAATAAATGGTGAATGGCAGTTTTCCTTTTTCATCAAAGTAAAACCCCTCTTCAAGTTTCTTTCCAATTAGCGAAAACAGGCACTAATGTAGCAAAAACAAAGTGGCAAAAAGTTAACCTCTCAAAGTTAAGGACTCTTATATATAATTCATAAGTCTATCCTATTTCTGCAGCCATTATTTTCTTTTACTACTCAAAACAGTTTGAAATCTTCCATTAAGAAATAATCCTATGTGAAGAGAAAGGAATCGCAAAAGTAACTGGCAAAATATAAGGCTTTAGGAATTGATGGGATTCCAATTGACATGTGCCAATAATTAGATGCAGGCCTGGATGTGCTCACCAATTTGCGCCAAGAAACCTGGAAGATAGCTATCTAGCTAACTGACTAAAAGAAATGCATATATGTTCCTATTCTCAAAAAAAAAGTGATCCAACAGAATGTAGAAATTGGCAAACAATATCATTTATATGCAAGCAAAATCTTGGTGAAAATTACTAAAGAACAGCTAGAACAGCACATCAATAGAGAACTGCCAGAAATTCAAAATGGGTTCAGAAGAGGCTGTGACACCAGGAATATAATTGTTGTTGCCAGATATATCTTGGCTGAAAGCAAAAAGTACCAGAAGGATGTCGTTTTGGGCTTTATTTTTATTGACTATACAAAAGCCATTTGACTACGCAGATCACAGCACATTATGCCTAACATCGAGAAGAATGGGAATCCCAGCACACTTCATTGTGCTCATGTGAAACCTATACCTAGAACCCAAGAGGCTGTTGTTCCAAGAGATCAAGAGAACAGAGTATGGTTTACAACCAGTAAAAGTGTGAATCAGAGCTGTATACTTTTCTTGATACATATTCCATCTGTATGCTAAACAAAACATTTGAGAAGCTAGACTATATGTAGAATGTGACATCAGAAATGGAGGAAGACTCATCAACAACCTTGCTTACTGAAAGTGAGGAGAACTTGAAGCACTTGTTACAGAGGACTGACAATAGCACTCAATAAGGTTTATATCTCAACATTAAAACAAGAAATCTTCACCACTGGGACAAAAGGTTAACATCATGACAGATGGAAAAAAGATTCAAATTGTCAGTAATTTCATCTTATTTGGACCATAATTAACACCCTTGGTACAAGCAATCAAGAAATCAAAAGATGCATTGAAGTGGAAAAATCTGCTGTTTAAGAGCTCAACAAAGTGCTAAGAACTAAGTTTAACTAAGGGGTGCCTGATCTTGGTCCTTTCACTTACTTATCATTTATCTGAAAGTTGGACAATGACTAAGAATGGCAGCAGAAGAACTGTTGCCTTTGAGTGGTAGTACTGGAGAAGAGTACTGAATATATTCGAATGTTAAAAGAACAAACAAGTATGTCTTGGAGGGAAGAATGGTAGTGAAACTTCATCTCACATACTTTGGAGAGTTGTTAGGAGGGGCTTATTCTTGGAAAAAGGCACCATGCTCAGAAAAGTGGAGGGTCAGCATAAGAAATGAAGACTCTCAACAGGATGGAATGACATAGTGACTGTTAACAAGAGGCTAAAATACATCAGGGATGAGGAGAATGGCATAGAGTAAGGCAGAGTTCAGTTTCATTGATCATAGGGTCACTATCCTCAGAGATGATTAAACGGCACATAACAACAAGGCATCAGAAAATAGCAAATAATATCTGAAATAATTTCAGAGGAAAAAAGAGCATTTTGTTCCGTTGTCAATTTTAAATAAAATCTTATTTTAGTTTATATTTTTATAAAAAAGTACCAAATTTTTAAATCTTTTGAGGAAAAGACAAATATTAAAAATATTTAAATAATCCTCCACTCAGATTCATTACATCTACTTAAAGGAATTTCAGGGTCAAAACTGCAAGTCTTCTTAAAGTGAAATACATCTATTCCTCATAAACATCCATCTATTTTATAAGGATTGGTCATCTACTTCTGAAATAATAAACCTGTGAAAACCCTATGGAAAACGAAGAACACTTGTGGGTAGTGCAGGGCAGAGATCCTGCGGATAGGGCAAAGTCCACATCTGTCATTCAAAGGGTGGTGAGGAGTTGTAGTTTATACAATGCCACCTAACCAGAAGTCTTATGATTACTGTTTCTGTTAAGAGTGAATACAAAGGATTTTTTTGTCATTCAGCATGCAGTAAGTAATTTAACTGAGGTGAATGAATCAAACCATAATTTTAAGTCTCACATCATGATGGAAATACTTCGAAATGTTTCAGTTACATTTATTTCTGGCTTTACGAAAATTAGTACCACCACCACAAAGAGATAACAGAAAACAAATTAACTCTATAGTATTAGCTTTAGTAGTGCAGTGTACTAAGAAAATGGATGCAGTAGATGAAGCTCAAAATTCTCATTGCAGTCAAATCGGAACCGACTCATAGCTGATCTTCCAATAGGTTTCCTATTTCAAGGTGGAGACTGCCTATCTTTCTCCAGTGAAGCAGCTGGTGCATCTGAAATGCCAGAGAGATCCACTTTGGGTTAGCAGCATAACTCCCTATGTTTTATGTTACCAGACCTTCCTATAGCAGAGGAAGAGGGAAATGCACACAAAAATTTTACTTCAAGTAATTGACAGAGAGGAAGCTCCAGTGGCCTAGTGGAAAGAACCTGCACTGTAATTCCCGAAGGCTTGGAGTTCAAGGCCACCAGCAGCTCTGCAGAAGAAGGATGGGCAATTTCCTCCCATGGGATTAACTGGCTCTGAAAACACAACAGAAGGTCAGCTTTGGGTCTATTCTGATTCTAGGGTACAAAGTAACAACAGCTGACTGAGCATTTAATATAGCTGGTCTCAACTGGGGGTAAGTATCAACACTAGAGATAGGAACAATTGGAAATATATGGGTAGTTGGGATTGTTTCAACACAAGGGAAGATTTGAGGCATTTAGTAGGCAAAAGGTGGCCTGGAATACCAAGTTCACTTTAATGCATGGGGAAGATCGACAG